GCGGCGGGGGGGGGGGGGGGAGGCGCGGGGGGCCGAGCGACGGCCCGGTCCCAGGAGGGGGGGGGTACTGGGAGCACTGGGGGCAGGGTGATGCCCCCAGCGCCTCCATCCCCCTCACCTCTCCTCAGGACCCACCTCAGCTTCCCTTGACGCCCCATAGGCTGAGCCACGCTGCCCATCTCAGCTCACAGCCAACCACTGCCTTCTCTGTGCTCTGGGGGGGCGGGTTTTCCCTTAGCACCGCCTCCCTGGGTCACCACTGCCCATTGGCTGGCACCACCACCACTCAGCCCACCCCACCCCACGATAGGCCCCCCTTGCTCCCACCTCCTTGATTGGCTGAAGGCCCCACCTTCTCCTGACTGAGCCACGCCCACCCTGGGAGTGGGCCCAGGCCTCCAGGCCCCCCTTCCCAGACCCACCATGGGGCCGGGCCCCTCCCCGGACCCCCAAAAGGACCCAGGCGTCCCCCCAGCCCTGGCCGCATCCAGCCCCACACCTCAGGGACGAGCCACAGGCCTTTAATCAGCTTTTTTCAGCCCCAAAAAATCCCCGCCGGAGCCACGGGAGGAAGGCGGCCGGGAGAGGCCCGGAAACGGAGGAGCAAGATCCTGGAGGAAAACACACTGGAAATGGGGCGTTCCTCAGGAAAATGGCAGAAATGGGGCGATGGCGGAGGGAAGCAGCGGGGGAAAAAGGGGTAAAATTGCTGGAAAAATGCTGGAAATGCGTCGTTCTGTGGAAAAATGCTGGAAATGGGTCAAATCTGCGGGAAAAATGCTGCAAACGGGTCAAATTTGCAGGAAAAATGCTGGAAATGGGACGTTCCGCGGAAAAAATGATGGAAACGGGACGTTTTGCAGAGAAAATGGTGGAAATGGGTTAAGTCTGCAGGAAAAATGCTGGAAATAGGTCAAGTGTTGGGGGAAAAATGCTGAAAATTAGTCGGATCCTTGGCAAAAATGGTGGCAATGGGTCAAATCTGCAGGAAAAATGCTGGAAACGGGTCAAATCTGCAGGAAAAATGCTGGAAATGGGACGTTCCGCAGAAAAAATGATGGAAACGGGACGTTTCGCAGAGAAAATGGTGGAAATGGGTCAAGTCTGCAGGAAAAATGCTGGCAACAGGTCAAAACCAGAGGAATAATGCTGGAAATGGGTTATTCCATGGAAGATTGCTGGAAATGGGTCAAATCTGCAGGAAAAATTCTGGAAATTGGTTGTTTTTTGGGGAAAATGCTGGAAATGGGTTGGATCTGCAGGAAAAATACTGGAAAATGGTCGTTTCACAGGAAAATGCAGGGAATTGTTTTGTCCTGGGGGGGAAGCAGTTGGATACGGATTGATTCTAGGGGAAAATGCTGGAAATTGGTCATTTCTTGGGAAAAATTCTGGAAAACGGGTCAGATGTGCGGGAAGAATGCTGTAAAATGTTTTTTTTTTTTTTCCGTAGGGAAATGCTGGAAACAAGTCGGACTTGTGGGGAAAATGCTAAAACCAGGTTGTTCTACAGGGAAAAAAAAACTAGAAATGGGTCAAATTGGTAGGAAAACTGGGAAAATGGGTTGGATCTGCAGGAAATATGCTGGAAATGGGTCGGATGCGCTGGAAAACTGCTGGAAATGGGTCGGATGTGCTGGAAACGGATCGGTCCTGGGGCATCCGCCGTCACTTCTCCCACAAGCAGCCCTCGGTGCTGTGGTTCTGCGTCCTCTCCCCTTCCTGGGGGGGCAAAAAGGGGCCACGCCGGGGTGAAACGAGGGCAAAATGGGGCAAAAAGTGGGCCAGGGATTCTGGTGGTTGCTTGCCAGACCCCCAAGCACCCTAGGGGCACCCAGGGGTCCACAGGGAGCCTCCCCCCTGCCACCCTTGCCCCCCACCTCCTTTTGGTGGCAACCAGAGGACTCAGGTGTTTCAGGTGCCCACCCAGCACCCCACAGAGACCCGGGTGCCCACCCAGCACCCCACAGAGCATCCAGGCTCCCACAGCGACCAGGGTGCCCTTACCGTGACATAGGTGACATGTATCTCGGTGGTGGGCGTCTCTTGGGGGTGCGCTTGTCGCCTCAGTGCCCTAAACCAACGCCGGTACTGCTCCATCACCTGTGGACGGGACCCACAGTCGTGTCCTGAGTGTCCCCGTCCCCTCCCACACATCCCATGCCTGGGTGCCCTCCGTGGTACCTGCCGGTTGAGGACGCAATGCACAAGGAAGATGAAGGCTCCCTGCATGCTGTTGACGATGGTGAAGATGAAGGCCACCACTGGATTGTCCCCCTGCGCCTGCAGCAAGCCCAGACCCCACGTGCAACCCAGGATACAGATGTGCGCCAGCGCCTTGAACGTCATCAGCCTGACAGAACACTCGTTTTGCTCTTTTTTTCACCCAAAACTCATCCCCGATGCTCTTCCTCCTCCCCCAAGAAACCCCAACACGCTTCCCGTTGACGCAAAAACCCACCGGGTGTCTTTTAGGGCCGTGACATCAGCGTTGAGGGAGGAGAGTCTCTCCCGCAGCGTCCAGAGGGTGGTAAGAAAAAACAGCAAATTAACCTGGGCAGAAAGCAAAAAAAACCATCGTTTTGCAAGACGGAGCATCCACGGAATGTAAATTTGGGGTGGAAAAGGGTCAACGGTGCAAAACTGTGCACTGTGGCGTGACCTTCACCGAGCACACCCAGATTATGGGATCTTTGCTTAATACCGTCCTTAAATATACGTGTGAATTCGCTCTTTTTATGCAAATCTCTAAAATGTCTCCATTTGGGGTCTATGGGGGAAGAGCCGCGGCCATGATCATAAATTTGAGGTGGAAAAGGGGCCAATGGTGGAAAAAAACCATCGTTAATGCACCGTGGTGTGACCTCTGCTGAGTGCACCCAGCCCGTGGAGCGTTTGCTCTTAAAGGTAAGTCTAAATTTGCTCTTTTTTCTCCCAATTTTTCCCTCTCCGCCTCCTTTCAGCGGCAAGACACGCACCAGGATGATGGCACAGATGGGACCAAGGAAACTCCAGATGAAGCCTTTCTCCAAGCTCAGCCAGCAGCTAAAAAGGGAGAAAAAGTGTGAGGACACCCGCGTCTGGATGCCGTGGCATCTTTTTTTTGGGGGGTGATTTAGGCAAAACGCGTGATGTTCTCCCTTGATGATCCCACCCCGCTTGGTTGACCCCAACCTGGGTGCTGGTGGGACTCACTAGCGCTCAGTGCCGTAGCCGCCAGGGTGGATGGCGGCGGAGATGGCCACCACGATGGCCGGCGTGCCGTAGCCCACGGGGTAGATGTATCTTTTCCTGAAGCGACTGGAGCTCGTGTAGTTGAGGACGCGCAGGTTCCTGACGGTGAGGAAGAGATGCAAACCCTCCAGGAACATCCAGGTGAAGCAGGCGAGGAAGAGGTAGTGGAGGAAGCCCGCCATGATGGCGCACAGCAGCTGGATGGGGGACACCGAGGCCATGCTGGGCTTCGCAGCATCACCGCAGTATGGCCCAGGGAAGTGGTGGCATCTCCGGCACTTGGAGATGTTCCACGCACCCCAACATGGCCTCAGGGAACCTCAAGGAGGTGAAGATGCTTTGAGCTGGGGGCAGACTGGAGACATCCAAATGTCTCTTCCAAGCTGAGCTATCCCATAATTCAGTTGGCTCCACCCACCACCCAGAGGAAGAAGGGACCCAAGAGCCTTGAGGAACCCCAATTGAGTGGACCTGCTTTGAGTTGGGGTTGGTCTGGAGACCTCCAAACATCCTGGTCAACCTTGGTTATCCTGTAATGCAGATGCTTTCACTCACCTGGAGAGCGATGGGACCCAACAACTCTGAGGAACCTCAACTAGTTGGATCCACTTCAAGTGGAGATTGGTCTGGAGACCTCCAAACGTCCCGTTCAACCTCATTTATCCTGTAATTCAGGTGCTGACACCCATCCAGAGCAAGAAGAGAACCAACCACCTTGAAGAACCTCAACTAATTGGACCTACTTTGAGTTGGGGTTGGACCAAACCTTCCAACCTCAGTTATCCCATAATCCAGGTGCTTGCGCCCACCCAGCACGAGATGGGACCCCCAGCAGAAGGTCTGCTGGAGCTATTAGGGTAGAGGCTACAGCCAAGAGCCATGACCCTGG